AGGGAAACTCCTCCCTTCTGTCAAAGGACAGGCCAAGTGAGGATAAAATGGCAAGTGGGAGCTGTAGGGACAGGCGCATTGAAAGGAAGCATGGTCGAATCTTGAATGGAAGTAGGGGAAAAAGCAGGTGCGTTTATTGTGTGACTGTTGTGTTTATTGTGTGACTTTAATATGGCGCTTGTACCTGGTGTTCCTCGGTCCTGCAGAAGTCTGCACATAATCCCCAGGACCTGGGAAAATGTTGTTCCTTAATTCACAGGGGCAGTGGTGTGTGTGTTTTCTGAGGGCCAGCAGCCCACCGAGAGGAGAACTTCCCCTCGTTTCTGATTTCCAACTTATTCAAGGCCAGAGGACCTGAAACATAAGTTGAAAAATTTTACCAGCAGAAAAGATGAAAGTATAAATGGAATAAAATCGTAAGAAATACTTAGTTCAAAGGAGCAGAGAAATGCAAGATTATTTTTCTGTTTTATCCAGTTCTTTATAATAGAAAATACTCTCTCTATTCTTGAGGGAGAGGGAGAGACCTGTGATCGAGCAGAAGAAAGTGAGTGCAAGGAGAAATTGTTTATCTGAAATCTGACAACACTTTCTTGTAAATTAGAACTCAACTTTGAAGTTTCACTTTTTGAGCTTGGCTTAGTGACTCTTGATGAAAAAGAAAATTAAGACTATTTTATGTGGAAGGCCTCAGGGATGAAAAGGCAGCATCTAGCTCCCTTATCTCATCAACAGTTCAGCGGACTCTTAATGTTAGCAAGCTCTTGTTGAGATTGTAACCTGAAGAAAGGCAGAACAAACTGCACTAAATGCTGATGCTACTGTTTTAGTGGGGAAAAAATTTCTAACAGGCAAGTGGCAAACAACAAAGCTTTTGAAAAATTAGACATGGGGAGAGTAATGCAGTTTCATAATGGATATGAATAGTTATTTTGCTGCCTTAAAAAAAATCTGTCTGGGTTTTGATGTGGATCTCTTTCTATTTGTTCAGGAAATTGTGACGTGTATTCTGGGCAGGGTCTGAGGTTTTAGAAGTCTTTCTAAAAGGGACAGAGAACGCCCTGCTACATTTCCTAATCGTGAAGTTGGCGTGCAGGCAGAAGAGCTGAAGTGAGCTGGCCACGATGCAGGTGCTTCTCCAGTGCAGAAGGCTGGTCCTGGCTCTCATCCTCATCTTGGTTTTGGATTCTTCAGTTCAAGGTAAGACTCAGGACTCTTGTTCCTCTGTAATCTTCTTTGTAAGCCCCAGAGTCCACACAAAAAGTAGTATTAACTTTAAGGTACATAATGTATTACATTGTGGGAAAGTAGGCAAAGGAAAAGGATTTGTGGTGGCTGAACTCTAGTGTGAGTTTGGTTAAGCTGGGTACCAAGAAAAATTAAACTCTCAGGCGGGTGCAGCCTTATAAACTCCCACAATGATTAAAATGTGCTATTTTATTTTTGGATGAAAATGTATGGTTTATAAATTTTTAAAAGCTCAAGAAAGGAATAACGACCTGTTGCATGGAGGAGATGGCACCTTTGAGTGTTTTGGAGTAACTATCCGAGTGTCTACATCAATCCCAAGTTGTAAAACATTGCAGTGCTATCATAATCATTGTAACACTGGGAAGAGCTATTTTTAAATAAGAGTAAATTTGTGAGTATTTTTTCTTCTTTTTTTAAAACTTGGTTCTTAGTGAAAATTCAATTATGGTTAGGCCTAGTTAATGCAAACTCTCTCAGATTTTAAAGAGAGGCCAAAGAATTTTAGTATTTGTGTTGTTGCCGAGAGAAATAACACATTTGGAAATTTCTTGTTAAGTTTCTGTCATTTAGGATTGTTTAGTAAGAATGAAACAACTTAAAACCTTGAAAGAAAATAGGAATGATCAGTTTTGTGAGAAATATATAATTTCTTCTCCTTTGGCAAATAAGGGATCGTGTTTAAATACGGCAGAAGGGCATGGCCTGATAAATAGATGAGAGAACGTATAGTAGAAAAACATTAAGTTCCCCTAAATTGTAAAGGAAATATTGAGTCATGGTGACACACATGTCCCGGATTTGTTCCTTCGAAGTGACTTCTAGTTGTCTTGTTTTTAACTTCTGGTGGAAATGAAATTGTACAGATGATTTCACATACATTCATTATGAATTGGAAATTTGTAAAAATTTATAAAATTTATAAAATTATTTTTTCTTATACAATTACTCAAGAAAAAACAGCAAGTAATATTGAAACTTTTTTACTAATGTATTTTTTAAAATATAAAACATTTGTTAATTGTAGGGAACAGGCTTTATTTGGATCTTTTAGGGAAAATCTTCAGCTTGATGAAATAATTCTGTAATGTGTTCTGACATGATGCAGAGCAGAGAGGTTCATGTTTGAAGCCCAGACCAGTGTGACCAGTGGTGCCGGGTCTACTCCAACCAGAGCTATATGAGTCTTTAGATCTTCAAAATTTCCCAGAAATGTCACATTCTCCACTGAGATTCAATAAGTAAAACTAGAATTAAAACAAAAATGTTCCTATGTAGTAGGTAGTCATCAGAAAGAAATGAGGAAAGAAACCATTACAAAATTGTATAAATTCACTTGTGTCATCACCTGGTAGGTTTAGCTCTGTCTTGGAAACAAACCAAAAAGGAAAGAATGAATTAAAAAACTAGGGTGTTTCTAAAGGAGAAGTACACTTCGTGTTGTAATGAAGAGTTTGTGCCTACTTCTGAATAAAAAGGGAAGCAGATGGCTACCCACAGTGGCGTGTGAGTGATAGCAGCTCAAGGCTGCACTGCAGAGAGCCACGCCACTCTTTGACTGTACATCCATCTGATGCCAGATGTGATTCGATAGCATTATTTCCCCGCCTCTTAAAAATGTTTTACTTAAACCATTGGTTTGATTGCGCTGATAAAATTAATTAGGCTTTTGGCTTGCTTTTACCGAATATTCAAAACATCTTAGGTTACTATATTTGTTTGCTAGGGCCTCAATAACAAAGTACCACAGTCTGGGTGGCTTAAACAACAGAAATTTATTTCCTCACAGTTCTAGAAGCTAGGAGTCCAAGATTAAGGTGTTGGCAGCGTTGGTTTCATTCTGAAGCCTTTCTCCTTGGATTATAGGTGGCTGTCTTCTTTCAGTACCTCCACACAGTCCTTCCTCTGTGTATGTCTGTGTCCCAATCTCTTCTTCTTATAAGGACACCAGTCGTATGAGACTAGGGCTCATCCACATGACTTCATTTTACCTTAACTAACTCTTTAAGACCTTGTCTCCAAATACAATCTCATTCTGACATACTGGAAGTTCGGACTTCGACATATGAATTGGGGGGATGCAATTCAGCCCCTATCAGTAACTGCAAGTCAAACTCAAGTAAAGACATTGTATAAAATTGTTTCTACTATGTATAAAAAAAATCGGAAGCTTAGCAATGTGTAGGAGACCTTGGAGAGCACAGATGGCAAATCGATTTAATGTAGAGCTCCAGGGGATTATTGATGATGCCTGTGAATCCTCCTTTATTGCCTCTCTTTTTCAAAGATACCTATATAGAGAGAAACTGGAAAATCCGTGAGCAGGTGTGGCCAAGAGGGTCAGAGCCAGATTGTATCTACTCCACATTGTCTCTTGGATCACAGTGATGATATTGATTCTACCCGTGTGTAGGGCTGTTTGGTTGTAATGTGATTTCACATCCATTCTCTAGTAAATGATCATCACATTCCCTGTGAGGAGGAATTAACACTAATTTAGTCAGGAAAAAAACTGGATCTTACATTCATCATCTCACTTGCTCTTTACTTTTTGCAAATAATTTAAGAGACTTGCCCAAGGCTCATTACAACTAATTAATGACAGAACTGGTCATCTGCTTTCAATGTCAGAGTTAACTTTCTACTCCAACTTGGCTGTCTTCTTGGTGGATTAGAGATTTTCTTTATTTAAAACAAACAAAAACTTACAAAATACATAAAATGGTCTTCACCCCTGCCCCCACATGGCCGTATCTGCTCAAGTTTCTCTAACACCTGCAGCAAGTCCCCCTTAAGAATAGGAAATCAGAAAAATGTGATGATATTGGGGGAAAATTGGTACTACAATCTAAAAAGATGCAGAGAGTTCACAGGGGTAAGTTATTCGCTCTGGTAACGTTTATTTATAGAAAGCATTTTGGTAAAACAGGACCAGTGAGAGAGAGAGAGAGAGACAGAGAGACAGAGAGAGAGACAGAGACAAAGACAGAGAGAGACAGAGAGAGACAGAGAGAGACAGAGAGAGACAGAGAGACAGAGACAGAGACTGAGGCAGAGAAGAGGGGCAGTGGGCAGTGAGGGAAGGGATTCTAAATGAAAACCATTCTTCTTCTTGGAATCCACCGCAAAATCTACCAGCAGATCCAGTGAAGGAAGATAATCTTTCTGTCCACAAACATACTTCCTTTTATTTTTTAAAATATGGTAATCATGAGATATTTTTCTTGAGCAGGATAGAGACAAGATATTCCCATGACAGCAGGGACTGGAGCTGTTGAATTTTCACATCCTGTCAACATCCCTGAGTAGATATGTCAGAAACTATGTGTCTGTAACCATGTTCTTTATTTTAAAGAAGATTTAAAGTCATCAGTTCCAAATCAGATAAACTTTTGGAGGAAGGGGGGAACTTCTACATTTGATTTCTTTATACATTTTTAAACAGTTTTATTGAGATTGAATTCACACCATACAATTCACCCACTTAAAGTGTAAAATTCAATGGTGTTTTGATACAGATGTGTACAACTATCACCACAGTCATTTTTAGAACATTTCATCACCCCCAACATCTTTTAAAGGTGAGATTCTGAACTCTAGGGAAATTTTGTATTTTAGATTTGTTTTACTGATTTATCAAAGTTGTATTTGTTATACCAGAGAGAAGATGTAGTCTTTCACCTAGATTCTTCCTCATAAAGTTTAGCTTTACTTTTCTGTTTAAATTGCTGTCTATGCAAACATTTCCTCTGCTTGATACTCAGTGCATCAGCCCCAGGTAGAGGAGAATGCCTAGACCTGCTCTGTCTTAAATGGTACCCACAAACCCCTTGTGGCTACTGAGCACTTGAAAGTGTGAAATGTAGCTAGTCCAAATTGAGATGTGCTTTAAATATAAAATATACACCAGATTTGAAGTCTTAGTCTGAAAAAAAGAATATAAAAAATCCATTAATAACTTTTATATTGATTATATGCTAAATGACAATATTTGAATATGTTGGTTTAAATAAAATGTATTAAAATTTATTAGAGTTGTTTCTTTTTACCTTTTCATATATGGCTGCTATAACATTGAAAATTCCATACGTGGTTTCATCTTATGTTTCTATTGGACAGTGGTGATCTAGACAACATAGTGTGTGAAGACAGCGCCCTCTGCTGGAGATGTTAGGTTTTCATTTTACCTACAAGATGAGGCTTCTAAGTAGCAATTAAATTCCAAACTTAGGCTGCTTCAGGAAAGAGAAGAGAAAGAAAGAACTAGTATGTATTAAATACCTATCAAATGCGAAGCCTTGTGCTGGGTGTTTCACACACATTTATCTTGCTTAAACAGGAACTCTTTAGGATACTACTATTTACATTTGAAAGATGAGAAATTGAGAATCAGAGAGCCATTAAATGGTAGAATAGAAATTTAAATTCTGGTCTCTCTACAAGCTCTTTTCTATCAAAGATTCGTCTTTGTTCTCCTTATCAGAGAAACTAGCACTTAAGAACTCTGACCATGGTGTGAATCTAAGAACCTAACATTTATATCTCATTAGATTTATTACTGACCCCATTTTATAGATGAGAAAATAGAGGTACAGGGAGGTTAAGTAAGTTGGTCAAGGTAACACAGCTGGTAAAGGGCAGACATTGTGATGTCAACTTGCTACCTTACCTCCAGCTTCCAGGCAGTGACAGAGCTAATCCATTTTGGATTTCTAGCTGTCCCAAACCAGACATTGTGGGCTATATTCAGGAATCAGGGAGAAGATTGTGATATAATAATAATTCCATAGAAAGGAAAGAGAGAGAGAGAAACAATGGGGGAATATTTACTATTTTTCTACATCAGTCTTTCTTTTGTTTATATTTTTAAAGAAATATTGTTTATTACACAAATTTAGAAAATGAAGTGAGAAAAAAAATCACTCGAGTCTACCACTATAGTTATTTTTGTGTATTTCCTCCCATCCCCCATATTTGTTTACGTGGTTGCATTAACAACTATTATGCATGCGGAGTGGTATTCTGCTTTTTTCACTCATTTTAAAATATAGATTTTTTTATGATGCTACATATTTTTTTCTATAACCAACTACTTTTTTTACCATTTGGTTAATATTCTCTCATATGAATGCCTCATAATTTATCTGAGTATTTTCTATTGTTTTGACTACTTAGTTATTTCCCTATTTTAAATAATATTAAAGTGAACAGCTTCAATTATTTTTATACTATATTTGACCTATCTATAGATACATATAAATATGTCATGTATATATCTTAATGGCATAATAACTTGGCAATGTTGTATAGTATTGTAGGCTATACCTTAATTTATTTAACATTTAACTTTCCAATCTTTTACTATTGGAAAAAAAAGCTACAATGATCACAGCACTGTCTTTTTTTCTTAAATAGTTGTGACAGACTAGGATATTTCAACCTGTCTGTCCCTTTGTAAATAGAGAATCCTGTTCTTTTGAAATTTCTGACTATATCAGAAGGCAAAGAAAGAGCCCAAGTCTTTATCTACTTTTCATTCCTAAGAGCACCCTCAAGAACTAGGACTCTAATATTGCAGGTGTACCTCACTTGGTGTACCTCTCAACCTTTCTGAACGTGATTCAGCTCATCTCTGTAAGAAGAGGTAGGCTTTGGGGTCAGATACAGGTTTGAATCCTGGGCCCTCTACTTAGCACTTGTGTGGCCTTAGTTTTCCTTTGTGTAAAATGGAGATAATAGTACAAAAATAATAGTTAATATTATCAAGTGTTTACTGTGTGCCCGGCACTATGTTAAGATCTTTACATGCATTTTCTCATTTAATTTTTGTGACCAGCTTATGAAAAAGAGACACTGTTAGTATCTTCATTTTGCAGTGAGGGCTCAGGGAAGTGAGTTTCACAGCTCACCAGTAGCAGAGCTGGGACTTCACTCCAGGCAGCTGATTGCAAAGCCTATTCTCACCTTCGACTCTGGGCTACTTCCTAAGGGTGTTGAGAGAAGGGCAAATGATATATATAAACGGCTGGCATGTGATGGGTGCTCCTGTTAAATTAATGGTCAGAAAACCTGTCCACACCTTACCTTCTAGCAAATTTAGAATCTATTTAATCAAACATTTCTCAGGGACAGAGAGATTAGAAGCCGTGTAAAAGATACCTATTAACCACACAGGTTCCTTGTTTGAACAGGTTCACCTGTGAGGAGAGCCAGGTACCAGTGGGTCCGCTGTAATCCTGACAGTAATTCTATAAACTGCGTTGATGAAAAGGGACCAGAGTTCGACCTACCTCCGGGGGAATCCAACAGAATCCTCTCTCCAAGGACTGACCCTTTTTCGTAAGTGGACTTTCTCTCCTTTTACTTTCACAAACCTCTGTTGAGATCTTGGCATGGAGGTGGGAGGGTTGTCCAGACTATTTTTCTTCAGGCTCTTGCTTTGGCAGTTTGGTTTTCATTGCACAGTACATGGTAAAACTGTACAATGTTTACTGGTGTACGAGATGTACAGGAACACATGATTCATCTATACTTTTGCAAAGTCTTGTTGTGGCAGAGACAAAACTTAAGTGAAAAATTTGTGAAAATAATTGGTGAAATGAAATTGGTGAAAATATTTTTCACCAACAGGTATTGAAAGTGATTGAACATCATTTTATTTGTGTAAATAGAGCCCATTAGATACTAAAATCTAATGGGAGGCCATTAACTGAATGGATAAACAAAATGTGCTATATCCCTAAAGTGGAATATTATTTAATCACAAGAAGGAACAAAGTACTTACACACGGTACAACGTAGATGAATCCTGAAAACATTACGCAAAGTAGAAGAAACCAGACACAAAAAGCCACATATTATATAATTCTATTTATATGAAATGTCCAGAAGAGACAAATCCACAGAGGTAGGAAATACAGTAGTGGTTGCCAGGGGCTACGGGGGAAGGAGGATAAAGAGTGACTGCTAATACGTGTGGGATTCTTGAGGGGTGATAAAATGTTCTGGATTTAGGCAATGGTGATTAAAAAGAAAAAAAAAGAAAAATTAGAGAAAGGAAGACTAAATGGCCATGACTTACAAAAAGAAAACCAGAACTCTCCTTGATCAAATAAAACCTGCTTTAAACTTGCAAAAAAGATTCAATAGGAATTCATAAGTAACAAAAATTTGAATTGTATTTGAATCCATTATTTCAATGAATATCAAAGTTATATAACATACAGCAAAAATGCATTATGAAGGATTACCATAAAAGTTTTAATCCTCAGAGTTAAACCTAAAAAATCATTCTCCTCAAAGCCAGGTAAATCGTCATGCCCAAACCAGGTAAGTCCATTATCACTTTGGGGATCCTGGTGACTCTCTGCATTCACTGTATAAGAGATGACATCATCACCATTCTCAAAATGCAGCTCTACAGTCCTGCCCCCGTGCTTTTGCTTTAACTCCACAGCATTAAGCTCGAACCTCATATTACAGCGTCATCCATTATTTTAAGTCATAGATTCCAATCGTAATTCATTTAAATCTAAAATGTTAGAGGAATAATCCAAGTTGTCCAAAACAACTGTTTTACACCTTTTGTCCTCTCTTCAAATCTCAGTGATTTTCCCTCTCCACAGCCAGCAACTTTCCTTCTCACTATGACACTCCTGTCACTATGAATGAAGAGTCCCTGCTTCTGTGCAAGTCCTGGTCCTGTTTGCCCTCAGATCCATTTCTCCTCCCTCCCACTCCCTGCTTTGTATTGGGTGGGTGGTGAGGGCTGATCCATGTGGTCTGCATTTCTTAGGCTGCCATATCCGTGGCTGAGTTTGGCCAATGGGAGGCACAGAAGGGAGATGAGGAGCACTGGAGGCGGGGAGGGATGAGGATGTGTCTCCTTATTCCCTGCCTTGGGCATCAGCTCTGGCAGGGCTGTATCTCATCCACGGCTTCAGCTCCCAACAGATAGACGCCCTAGTCGTTGGGTTCAGGCAACACTGCCTCCTTCCATTGTCCCTCTAGCCCAGGGATGGAAGTATTTTCTTGTGTTTGCTAGTATCTGGGTTTCCTCATAGTCCCTTATTTGGCTTCATTTCTCTTCCATCACATGTGTAAGCAATTCTCTGTGTTAAATATTTAGATACATTTCCTGACAGGACTCTGTGGCAGCTTCTAAGGCCACTCCTCCTCGTGCTGAGTATCTTATCCCCAGTCACCTTCTCTAGGAGTTCAATTCTACAGTTACTCCTCTGAACTCGTGCTGAGTATCTTATCCCCAGTCACCTTCTCTAGTTCAATTCTACAGTTACTCCTCTGAACCCAGTATCTTCTTCCCATCACTATGCAGACATTGTCTAGTATCTCCTACATTTAGGTAAAATCCCTGTTTTCATTCTGCATCCTCTTTGGCTATCGCCTCATCCTCTGCTCTTCTTTACAGTAGCACTTCCTGAAAGGGGAGCCAATGCTCGCTGTCTTCCCACTCCTCTCTCTCCTCAACCCCTTCTAATAGGACTTCTGTTCCTGCCCTCCACTCTCAGTGCTTGTTAAGGTCACAATTACTCCTGGTCAACACATCCACTGGTCACTTCTCTGTGTTTAGCTTACTTGACTTCTTGATTGCCTTCAAAAACAGTTGACTCTTCCTTTGAAATGCTTTCTTCTCTGGACTTCCATGGCCCCACCTTATCTTGGGTTTCTTTCTATGTCCTTGGCTGTTCTTTCAATATTTAATATGTTGGTGTGGCCCTAGCTCTGTTCTGGGCCTCTTCTCTATTTGCATGCTTTCTTTTGGTGGTCTGTTCCATGGCTTTGAGAGAGAGAGAGAGAGAGAGAGAGAGAGCGCGAGAGTCTGTGTGACTACCAAATTTGTGTTTCCAGCCTTTTTCCTGACTCCTTAGTCTAAGCTAGCCACCTGGTCACTCTCTATTACATTAGTCTGTTTCATTTTTCTGCATAGCTTTTAGCACCACCTAATTTTCCTGATTTATTTATTTACTTTTTATTGTCTGTCTTCCCCCACTAAGTTATGAACTTCTTGAGCAGGGACCTTATCTGTTAGTCCCCACTCTACCCCAGGAGCTCAGAATAGGGACCAGATGTTCAACAAATATTTATTGAATGTATGCATGAATGAAACACTAATCTGTCGTATGGCCTGTGGTTTGTTATTTTCATGGAGAAAATGACCCATAGGCTGTGAAATTCAACATTTGTCTCTGACATTTTGTTGCCTTCTTATGCCACTGAGGGGTGGCACCATTGCCCTGGGCTTCAGTGCTGAGCAAACTTCCTATCACCACACTAAACCCAGCTGAATAAATACCCTTATTTTGAGGAAGGAAATTGAATGTTAATATGCTGGCAAATACAATGCTTAACTCGTTACAAAGTATTTCTTAAGAGTGAGCTTTGTTGAAGCACCGTGAATTATTAGAAGTTTTGTAGAAATTTTAAATCATGAAAAAATTTCATCTATCTAGACTGGCTTACTTGTTCTTTCTTTAGTAGGAGAAAATGGGAAAAGGGGTCTTTTTATTTTTAATAAATGATCCTTTAAGTAAATTCCACAGTAGGATTGCCATGCTAGTGATAAGGAAATTAGCATTGTTTATATGAGTTGGCAGTGGGTAAATGTGGAATTGTTAAGTACAATTAGATATATTAAGTGTAGGCGGACTCGAGGAAAGGTCCTGCCTGTTTTTGTTATAAAGCACGGAATAACTGGGAAAGTTTTAACTTGATTAACTGGGTGGCCGCATGTATTTTTGTATCTTAAATGAATGTATTACAATCAACTTCCTCATGTCTCCAGCGTTATTGTAGTGTGTTTTATTTTTCTGTCTTCCTTCAGGATGACCATACCCCAGAACTTGAATGACGTCTTCCCTCTTTCTGAGGACTATTCTGGATCGGGCTCTGGATCAGACTCTGGAAGTGGCTTCTCAACTGAAACAGAACAGGAATACCAACCAGCAGATAAAGATGATGCTTTCTATTACAACTTTAGGCCTCTGCCCTCAGACGACCAAGACTTGGGTCGAGATGGACCAGAAGAGAATTTTATTATGTAAAAAAGGGGGTTTCCCACCTTGACTCCAGGCAATGCATTCAGTATATCTTGTGTACCATGGATAAATGATTAATTTGGGGACAAAAAGTTTTATAGAAATTTTAAAACATCTGAAAAAAGAAATTTAAGCTTTATCACCTTTTTTTCTCATGAATTCTAAAACCTTTATACTATTATCCTAGAAAATACCTGCATTTTCTTTGTATCACATTTAACCAACATCATGATGAAATAAACTAGACTCCTCATGTCTATGAAATTGCTTTAAAGAAGAAATTACACTGTTTTTTTTTTTAAAAATTTAGTTTTCGAAGCAAATCGACGGGCAGTATTTTATATCTAAGTCTTCAGAACCTGACTGTAAATTATAGATATGCCCTTTTTCTTATTAAAAAAAAAAAACAGATAAAACACAAGATGGATTTATAGAGTGGGTATTTGACATGTCTTACAGTGTGAAATGTACTGCTCTAATATTACCATTGGATGTGTTCACAAAGTTACTAGATATGGTTTGTTTAGAAGTATGATTGCTATTATAAACTTAAGACCCAAATTAAAGCACAATTGTGCTCTCAGTGCCTCATACTGCTTTACCTTTTTCATGGATATCTGTGTATTTTCAAATGTTATTCTATTAAAGCAGAAATATAATTAAAGAGTTAAGCTGTCTGGGATCTCTTATTCTAAACTGAGGGTAATAATTATTTTTGTTTAGTTGTTTCTAGAACTCTTATTAACAAAATATGTGTAGAATTATTTTATAGTGAGAGCAAATTTTGTAACTAGAATCAAATTCTATTTAACTAGTAGATGAAGAAAACAATCATACTATAGCAAGAGGGTTATTCTTGTCTAAGCGCTTCTTCTTGAAGGCTATTACCATCTCTGTTTCCCTTAGTTCTGAAAAGCCTGTCACCATCATTGTCAGGGATCCTGTCCTGCACCATCCAGATCCTCTCTTCAGAACTGAGGACTTAGATTAATCTATGTTGAAGAGGGCTACCTCATCCAAGGCCACACCTTCTTTTCAGAGCAGCCTGTACCCAATGACTGTTTGATGTGGGCATACAAATGCCAGGCCCCTCCCCTGAACTTGGGGCAACTCAGATTTGAGCTCTCCTAAGGGTCGGCTAATTCCAGGCCCCTCCCCTGAACTTGGGGCAACTCAGATGGGCCATCACTGATTCAGAGCTCTCCTAGGGGTCAGCTAAGGCTTTGTTGAGACTGCTTTGCAGCTCAATTTCTTTTTTACTTTTGCTTCCTTCCATTCCCCTCACAGCTGTGCTACCTTAGAAACTTTCTACAAGCTAGTTTTCATCTCATAATTGGCTCCATGGAGAATCTAAATTGCAACAGTTGGTTCCAGGATAGGTGGAAAGCAGATGCTGAAAGGGGATTTTGGAGCTAGATTGTCTGCTGCCTGACTGGCAACTTTCAGTGATGATGAACTGGGATGGTGTACAGTGGAAGGAAATACACCAGAGTGTGAGGTATCAGGCATTTGAGAAATATGGAGAAGTAAGAATTATAAAGACAATGGTATTTGGATGGCTGTTGCTGGAGGCAATTAATGCCATTAAAAAGAGTCGATGAAAGGCCAAGGATGATTAATTAAAGGCTATATGTGAAAAACAATGTATCCCCTTGACAGCATATTAAGAAACACTCTTCTGTAGTGGAATGGCAGCAAAAGCTGAGGACTAGGCCCAGGATGTAATCATAAGAATTGCAGAGTGCAAGAATGTTAAATTGTCAACCTAGCCAAGTCTATTCTGCAAAGTCAGGGCACCAAGTGGATAAAAATGGGATCCTGAGAGATGAGGACATCTGGGTTGACACGTTCAGATCTTAAATCCCTAGATTTCCTCAAACTCTCTGAACCTATAGAAGAGGCCCACTCCTTAAGAACTAATGCTTTCCTCTGGCTTGAAGGTGATTAAGAGACTTCTGCCCTTCAAGACCACATGCATGCTTCTTCAAGGTTTGCCTTCACCTTCCCTCCTAGAGGCAAGATCAATAAGTAAATTACAATATAAGCCAACAGAAAGTGTTGGGCCTGGGAAGGAAGAAATATACTCTGAAGGTTCTGCAGAACCTAGTTGTTGTGTACCTCAGAAGCAAAGTGTGTCTATGCGACTTAATTTTAAGAGTGCTAGAACAAAGGATGGAAGTAAGACATCAAGCTTGATGAGAGAGTGTTTACCAATATGGAAGTACTCTTCTGGGGCACAGGTTTTAATACCCTGGCAAGAACCCCAGGAAGAAGGTGTTGACACGCTGCTAGAATGGCTCTTAGAAGCTTAGAGAGCGTGACAACCCCTCTTAAGTGAAGTAGAAATGTTAGAACTGCCATGGCTGGCAGTGAAAGAAGGGGGTCAAAGGTTTAAGGAAGTGAGCACACAAGAATGAACAGGCTGTGTAAACCTAGAAAACTCATCAGATGACTTCGTTCTGCAGGAAGGCCAAAGTGATGAAGAATATACTGGTGAGAGGGACAGCATCTCTGAGATCTCAGTGGTAGCTCTCCTCAGAAGGGCAGAGTTAATGATAGAGATGTTGCAGAACTGGGCTCGCTAATAGCAATGGGGATAATGGGAGTCTCAAAATAATACAGGTCAGGTTGTAGTGCTCAGCCTTCAGAAACCAGGTTGTGCAATTATCATAATGAGCAGCGAAGTCAGAATGGAAGCTAGGAGAGCCTATTGGGCAAAGAGTTATGGAGATGGCATCTCTAGAGGTAAAACAGTTGGTAAGAGTTCTGCAGCAAATTCCAATGTGTTAGGGCTGGGGATTGGTCCCCACACCAACTAGCAAGTCTCTAACACCAGCTGGGTGTCCTGTAATTCAATTCAATTCTGAACTATCTACCTGGAGACAGCATCAAATTTCATAGGTTAGGGGCTTATTCCCACAAGGCTGCTTGCTCTCCACTTCAGATGCCAATCAAACCCAGGTTGTCACATGTGCTTCTGACCAACTGGCTGTATATTGGATGTTCCAATAATCCCCACCTCAGGTTCAATTAATTTGCTAGTGTCTCACAGAACTCAGAACCATTTTACTTATTAGATCACTGACATATTGTAAAAGGATGTAACTCCAGCTAGATGAAGTGATATACAGGGCAAGGTCCGGAACAAAGGAGCTTCTGTCCTCATGGAGTTTGGAGCCTGGCACAATGGCAGTGGAAAGTTCTGATTTACCAAACTGGAAGTTCTCGAACTTTGCTCTTTTGGATTTTTTGGAGGCTTCATTACAAAGGTATGACTGATTAAATCACTAACCACCCCTCTCCCCTCGCTAGAGGTCAGGGTAGGGTGCAACTGAAAGTTCCAACCCTCTAACTGCATGGTTGGTTCCACTGGCAACCCCATTCTTAGGTGCTGTCTAAAAGTCATCTCATTAACATAACAAAAGACACTTTCTATGGCTTTCATCTCTTAGGAAATTCCAAGGGTTTTGGGAGCTCTGTGTCAGAAACAGTGAATGAAAGCTATATATACATATATATATATACACACACACATATATATAAAGAAATATATGTATTCTTATTATAAATCACGATATCACAGTTGGGCAGCTAACGAAGATATCGCTCAATCTATTCAATGAGAAACATCAAGGATGGATGACAAGGGCAGCTGCCTCAATAAAAAAGTATGATCCTTCGGTTCAGTTTCCTTACCTGAGCCAGTTTTCAGACCTGGTTAGGCCTTCTGGAATAAGGATCCTGTGACACTGTGGCCAGTATACACAGTACTGATTCCTCTAATGCTTAACCAAAGGGCTATTTACTCAGTTACTAGATCCTTAGTAGAGGACAGTAGGAAAAGGAGAACATTTAAATATTTCAAGCAGAGTCAGTTACAGAGTCTGATTGACTTTGATACACAGAGACCCAAAATCTTGGCCTCCCTGTTAGTCGGGCATGAGTTGGTTGGGTTACAAATGCAATCTTGACCCAGGTCTGGCTTATGGTGGTCATTTTTCCAGTACCCAAATGTATAATTAGAGTAGACATACTTGGTAGTTAGCACAACTTCTACATTGGTTTCTTGATCTACATGATAGGAGCTATTATAATGAAGAAGACCAAGTGAAAACTTCCAAAGCTACTCACCCTCCATCCACCAATAAATTCAAAAACATTTTATCCTGAGGGGAATGTCAGAGATTAGTAGTACCTTTAAAAAGCTAAAGAATGTAGGGATGCTGGTCTTAATGTACCTCCATTTAATTCATTAGTCTGGGGCTTGCAAAACACAGATAGATCCTGGAAGATGACAAAGGACTATTACAAATTCAACCAAATAGTAATTGTAATTGCAGCAGCAATGCCAGATGTAGTAGTTTTGTTAGAGCATAGTTATACAGCTTTAGGTATATGATAGGCGGGCACTGAGCTGGCAAATGCTTTCTTTTCCATCCCTGTCAAAAAAAGAGGCTCAGAAACAGTTTACATTCTCTTGGACTGGACAATGGTATATATTTGCAACCTATGTCCAGGGCTAGGTTAACGCTTCTATCCTCTGTCATAATATAATCTGAGAGACCTAGACTGGCTGGATCGCTCACAGAATATCACAGAGGTCCACTGTATCGATGGATCATGACTCTGTGACTAGACCCCCATGTCATGTACCACTGGTGCACTGACATCTCTCCCTCAGCTCACACCTACAGCCATATGGCAGAGGTGCGTGTGTGTGTTCCTTATGATCAAATGACAGAGTAGGAATAAGATCAAGCTTGGTTCACAGATGGATTGACCTGGTATATAAGTGCAAGTCAAAAATGGATGGCAGCTAAACTACAGTGCCAATTAGGAGTGGTCCTGAAAATAGTTGTGAGAGAGGAAATCCTCTCAATGGGCAGAGCTTCATGGGATGTACCTGATCATTCACTCTGTGTGGAAAGAGAGGTAGCCCAAGGTTAGAATATATACAGTTTCATGGGAAGAGGTGAATGTTTTGATCATTTGGTCAGGGGCCTAAAATAGAAAGATTGGAAGGTTGGGGACTTAGAAGTCTGGGGTATAGGTATATGAATGGATCAATGAGAGAAGATACAAAGTCTCAAAATCTTTTTCAAATGATAATACCCATCAGAAAAGCATCTATCACAGAAGAGGCACTAAATAACCAGGTAGACAAAATGACTTGGGCAGGTGTCAGCCAACCTCCGTCATAGGCCACCCTAATGCTAGCACAATCAACTCATGGAGAAGTAGCCATAAAGGCAGAGAGGAGGCTATGTGTGGTCTCCCACTGACCAAGGCTGATCTAGCTACCGATGTTGCCAAATATCCTATATACTAGCAATAGAGCTCATTGCTGAACCATAATGTGGCACTGTCCTCCATGGAGACTTTGGTGGCAAGTTGACTATATTAGGCTCCTTTCATCCTGAAGGGGCCAGACATTTGTTCTAATAGGAACAGACATGTATTCTAGATATGGATTGCCTTTCCTATCCATGAGGCCTATAGTAGCATCAATATATAAGGGCTTACAGAATGTTTGATCTACTAACATGATTTCATATATAATGTTGCTTCAGACTCAAGTACCCACTTTCAGCAAGGAGGGTCAGCAGTGGCACATGACCATGGCATCCATTGGTTGTATCACACATCATATCACAGATGCCACCGGCATAAT